TGCTAGTCTCATTCTGAGAATTCTGCATGGTGAATCATTCACAGATAAAGGATCTATACAGTTCGGAGGCCCTGTTGGTCAAGGATCGATGCCAGTCTGTGTTTATCTAAAAGATTAATCATTATTACACCTGATCTGTAATCAACCCTCTCCTCTTTGCTTTGCTGTCTGTAGGATTGTGGAGATCTTCAGTCGACGGCTTCAAGGTAGGCAATACCCCGTGCAGCTGTGATAAAGGATTAGAGTTGAATTGGATAAAAAAAATAAAAAGGAAATAGAAAATAGCCTGATGGAGGCTTCTGCCACTAAAGCACAGAAGAGGTTTCATAACGATTTCAGATATTTTTGTTGCCAAGGAGTGAAGAGAATGTTTGTTGAGACGGTGGCAGCACCATCATAAACCTTTAAAAGAAATTACTGCTTCAATTCCTTTTCTTTCAGTTCAAGAGCGTCTGACCAAGCAGATTGCTGTTGGAATATCTGAAGCTCTGCAGCCAAAAGGTGTAGCTGTGGTTATAGAAGCAGCGTGAGTACAACAGAAAACCATTGACAGGAAATGAAAATGTATTGTCACAGGCAATAAAGTTCTTCTGGTTCGCTTTTAGGGGTGGACAATTCTATGAGTGTCCCCTTTAATTGCATTAACCTCAGCCTGGTAAATCTGACCAATTGCATTCTCTCTTTCTGCAGCCACATGTGCATGGTGATGCGCGGTGTCCAAAAGATGAACAGCCGCACCATGACGAGCACCATGCTGGGAGTTTATCTAGAGGACCCCAAGACTCGGGAGGAGTTCCTTGCTCTTACAATGCGTGCCTAACTGACCACGAAATGCTCTTCCTTCCTTTGCCGCCACAGCGGACAGAGGGCCAGATGGGGAAGAGAGACAAAAGTTGCTGCTCCACCTCCAGCCTGTTGAGTTAACCTCATAATACCGAAGCCTGAAAGATTTTTGTTGAAATCACTGTGAACCCAACAAATTCCTTGTGCCTTTAATACCTATTATACAATCTTACATGGAAATATACCGGTAGTTGTGAAACGTGTGCAATACTGTAACATGGCAACATAAGACATATAACACTTTTTATTTCTGTTTAGTTTTTTTTCTAAGTGGAATTCCATTGGTGCTTTTCCAAAGTGTTATTTCCTTACCTTAACACTGTGTTCAGAATTCATTGACTTCATCCATGCAACACACTGTCATTTATAAATACTTTTTTTTTTAAATCTTTGCAGTTTAGTGACATTTTGATATACCAAACGAATTATATCTGAAATCTAGAGAGTAAAGCCAATTATTGTAAATCTGTGATCAGAGATGATGTTGTGTGTTCTGAGATCTTTAATAAAGCATTCTAAACAATAAGACCCTTGAACCCTTTATTTTCTGCAATATTCATTTTTGTTTTATAAACAAACATACCTTTGATGCATCAGTTATGAACTTATTTTTAAATTTCAGTCATTTGATCATGGAGCCATCCATGGAATTACAATTTTCCTTGAGTTTGCCCATTCGTTCTGCCCTGCAGTCAACAAGCTGCAGACAGACTTGCAGATAAATGAATGTTATTATAAAAAAAAAAAAAAAGGAAGCGTTTATATAAACTTTTTTTTTCTGCAACAAATTTGCTTCACGGTCTAGATTTATTATAAGAGATTGAAATTAAAGCATTGTGAAGATCCTTTAACAAACTTCATGCTGGCCTGTCTTAGCTGTTCAAAGATAATTAGCTCTGGTGTGTTTGTGGGATCGTTGTCCTTTTTTTTTTTTTTTAAAAAAAGCTCATAATTTCCAAGCTTCATCCAACTAGCTTTTTTCTTACAATGTACCAACACCACTTGGAGCGAAATGAGCTGACGCTATGATGTCTAAGGTTAAAAGATTTCCCTTGAATCCTTCACTTCATCATTTTCTTCTATAATCATAGAACTTTTTTAATTTTTTTAAATTTAAATCTAGCTAAAAGTTTCAGTCATGCACAGCTCATTTCACTGGGGATAATGATGTTTCCTTATTTTCTGCTTTGATAGCTCCTGGGTTTTCTTAAACAAGCTAACACATTGTATTTAATGTAGGACTTTCACACTATGTTAACCTGAATAGAGATCAGAAGGGGTTTTGGAATAGAGGAAATATGCTAACATCAAGTTTATACGCTGCAACCAAGAAATCAAACAGTTCCCGGGTCCAATTCTAGGAAATGGTTCACACCTCATTTAAACTAAGAAGTGTATCAAGAAGTCGCCCCAAGGCTTAATGGTGGATAACAAAAATCATGTGATTGAAGAGTAACTTGCAAAGGAAAACCGAGTTAAATGTTCGTGAGAATGAACGAATTCCAGAAAAAAAAGGAAGTAAGTTCCTTTGTTATCATTTCACCACGGAAAAAGTACAAGAGATGCATCATTAATATCCCAGGATTAGATGAGTACATCTTAACGGAAAAGTGGAGTATGTTCTTTTTCCGAGTGGCTCATCAAAATAAGTGGTCCTCCTAATTGTCAATCATTCTGGTGAGGTGTTTATATAAGGCCGTCCTATGTGCTCGTCCCCAATTTCACTCACCGGTCTAACATAGTGGAGAAATTGCAACTCTTCTTTTGTAAAGTAAGCTTGTATGAGCGATGCAAACAGTGTGCATGAGAAGAAATGGTCTAGTGAATGCTCTTGCATGCTTTTAATAGGTGTTCCCTCTTGGGAACGAGTAAAGAGTTATGCATGTGCAAGTGGAGAGGGTTTTTTTTTTTTTATTGCAAAAATACTCCACTATCCCTTTAACTTCTGACTAAATTTATCCAATAATTCTTATAAAACCCATCGGTCCCAAGCTTAATTGATCTATTAGAGGAGGAACATGTCTCCTAGGCAACAATATGTATTATAGGTTAGAACACATGAGACTCAGGTGCCCTAAAGTACCTTACCTTGCCTTGCAGAAGTATTGAAACCATTCTAGATTTGGCTCTAGGTTTACAGTTGTTGTACTAGAATATTATTGTCTTTAATTCTAACAGGATTTCTTAGAGTTTGTCTTGTAGTTACATCCATACATCTATTCATAGACCTAATTGGCTTCTGTTACTGCTGATGAAATAATCTCCACAGCATGATACTACCACCACCATAGAAAAACCCTCAGTGGGAGTGTTGGCCTAGTGGTTAGAGCAGTGCGCTTGTGCTCTGAGAAGGTTGAAAGTAACCGGTATGATCCCCACAGCCTGCGCTCTGGGTTCCTGAGCAAAACTCTTAAACCCTGATTGCTCCCCGGGTGCCAGACACTGGCAGCCCACTGCTCCCAAAGGGGAAGGGATAAAAGCAAAAAATAAATGTCTCCAATGTCAGATAAATAAATTTCAATTATTATTTTCTTCTTCTCTTTTGAAAAACAGGCTCAGCTTTTGGACATAACTCTAGAATAAGGACACCACCCTTTAAAAGAATCAGTGGCATCTTCAAGATTGTTTTTCTCCATTATAACATTTATAATAAATCACTTTATTTTGTTTTAATATTTATTTTCATAAGTAAATTCTTCTTTTGGATGCTGCACTATTTCTAGGTAAAACGTATGAAACCTTCTCCCAGTTAAGCATTTACCATCAGAGAAAAGAAAGGTGGTGTTAAAAAGTAAACTTAACCGACGAATTGGTTTTATTCATCTATTAGTTTTGTGTTAGGGTTAATACAGCGATCCCCATGTAGAGTTTAATACCACTACTACCTATTTTATTATCTCTACAACATTTTAAATACCAATATAAAATCCAGCATGCCTTGACCAAGACCTCCAAACACAGGCAGAACTTTTGGCTTTCAGAGTCTGTGTTTTAAAACAGGAGAACAGTTTAAATGTTTGGCTGCCATGTTCAGGCACCAGAAAACCTCAGCTCTGAGCACTCAGTTGGTGCCAGAAAGGTCTGCAGTCTGTTACTAGTAATACTGCTTTGCAACCAAGGTGTGATTTGATCAAAAGAACTCTTTTTATAGTGACATTTATAGTTTTTCTGCATGTTTTGCCAAAAGCCTCTCGAATATTCTCCATAACTGGCTAAATCGAGGCTTTGTATGTCTGGTCATCAAGCACTGTAAACCCAAACATTTAAAGTATTAACTAAACTGAGTACTTAAGACTTAGCCTTGTAAACTAGCCCCAGCGGCCAAAATCATTTTTGCATACGAAATTACACATTTTATCTCACATTTAGTCTGGTTTATCAGGCTACTTAAGAGTTATTATTTTGTGTTGACGTAGTCTAATGTGTTCTTGTTTAGTAGATTTAACTCTACGGATTAGTCTGAATTAATGGTGTATCAATCGAACATAATTTAAGGGAACATACAATGGAACAACTTAATTTTAATGAAGTACTTCTGCAAATGACATTAGACGCCATTGTTAGTTGATTAGTTGACAGTAGGTGGGGTTAGCGTTGCAACACCATATGTGAGATTGCAATTAGATTTAATGAGGATTGTTTATCTTGTGCCCTTTCAGATAATCTTTAATAGTACCAGAAAAGATTAATGGAATATATATCTTACATTATGATTTAAAAAAAAAAAATTGAAGTGCTGCTGTTGTTAGAGGCTAAGTAGTAATAAATCCAATTAACTTAATTGAGCTCTATATAAGAAATTCAATTGAATACAGAAATCTTATGCCTGAATTATAAGGACAGAATAAAACGGTTCATTAATATATACCCATGATGCTATAACAAAAATATTAGATGTACTTAACTGGATTATTCTATTCAACTTAAAAGTCTTAGTTAATAAAATAGAGGTTTTTAAGACAATCAGTTTCATCAAATAATTGCGGTTCAAATTATTTAAGTTTTACAATAAGAGGCAAGATGCAAAATGGCTCTAGTTTCTATATATTATGTGATTTCAACGCCTCACATTGAGAAAAGCAGATCATCCATTGGAAACAATCAATTTTAATCAGCATCAGCTCAGGTCCTGCTGTATATATATATTTTATACAGATTGTTTTGTTAAATTAACTTGTAACAAGTCAGCATCAGTGGAAAAGTCAGAATATAGTGAAGGGGTAATAAAAAAATTTACTGTCAAATTTTACTACCTTTTAATTATCTTGATGTGAGTTAATTCAATTCACTACCGTGTAGAAACCTTGTTGTTGCAAATGAGCTTAAATGTTTTAGTAACATTAATCACACATTGCTACACTGTACATTATATTACCCATCTTCGGTAGAGCCTTGACCATGCTTGTAAATACATGACAAACCTTGAAACATTAAAATATTAGTGTGTCCATGTATTCATAGGCCTGAGGCAGAGTTAGCCCTTTAAATATCAAAGAGGGAACGCTATGAACTACAACCTCCATGTTGGGGATTGAGAAGGGTCACAGCTGACAGTGAGGCAGGCAGTTTCAAAATATGATTATATCAGAGTAAACCAATTATTACGACACAAAGAGGAAATTTGTCTTTGCTTGCGTAAGAGGCTAAAATTATACTCCGTTATGGCTGGAGGGAAACAAACCATTTTGCCAAACTGGCAACTTTATTTCACTCAAGTTTAACACAATATATTACATGCACATAAAACTAAAAAAGGAAGAAAGGTTAGTTTAGGTGCTGGATTTACAAATCGGACAAAAACCTTCAGCATCCGTTATTTTAGAGTCAGGTGATCTGGTTGGAGCTGGCGCTGTCTGCTTGTGAATGGGACATTTCCAGTGATGTGATACAATAATCCGAAATAAAGAGAACTGTGTCACTTCTGATGCCTCTTTCTCAGTCTATTTTTTCTCTTCCTGCACTCATGCAAACCAGCAACGCATCACACTGACGTCTGCTTGTAGTTCTTGGTTTCCAGAACCTTCTTTCCACACATCGCACAGATTCCTGCAGATAAAAAGGGAAAAACAGATTAAACTTGTTATTATTATTGCCATAGATTGTGGTGAATATTTAAAGCTTTGTGATTTTTTTCTCCACATAATAGATGAAAAAAGGTAATCATAAAGCTGTAGATGACTGAGAAAAAGAAGGGAAATGAGACATGGTGTTCAGTTTTTTTTTTTCTAGAAGTTAAAAAGTGAAGAGTATGACATGTATTTGTAAACCATGTACTAGATTTTTACTTATCATTTACCCTCCATTTTTTTCTTAACATCCACCTAGTTTTAAGTAATCCTCGCCTTTTTGCATAGCCAAATAGAAAAGCAAATAACTAAGGAACTGTAAGCTCAAATTTTGTGCATTTTGCACCATTTGAAAGCTAACACCTTTTAGCTTCTAAAAATATAAATAAAAATAGTGACTAAAACGCAGCCTAAACTACAGCAGTTAAAACATGACTCATAATTGGGTTTTTTAATTCTAGAAAATTATAGGGATTATTTGAATAGCAGTAACAAAGACATGTTTGAAAATAGGTATGTGTCTTTGTTTTACATTTACATTCTACATCGTGTTAACATCAACAACTGCTGAAAATTTCAGATCTTTAGGTATAACGGGTCAACAGCTACGGGACTTTTAACCTCTGGTTTCACCAGCATCTCCAAACCTCTGCAAATGCGCCAGATAATGCCAAATTGTGCTTATTTCTTTAACACAACAATTTTACCCCAGCAATCACACTGAAGCATTTTTGAAGGCCACAAAACCTTTTTGAAGCAAATATTTTTTTCATTTTTCTAACTTTCCATCTAATTATCTAAGACTGTGCAACGATCCAGTCACTAATGTGCCGCTATATATGTCCGGGATGCACAATTCAAATTAGCCAAATTAGCCAATTTTTTTGGTTATAGAGCCAAACATTGCATGTGGACTTAATCAATAGCAGCCGGACTTTATGAGGAATAATATAAGGGGAACATGCGTAAAGATGGCTGCTGAGAGGGAACGCTTTGACGCTGCAAAGGCTGTCTTGGCGTCATATCTCAAAATGTAATTGACGGGGACAATTTTGTATTTATGTTAGAAGGTGAGGAAAACAAACATACCAAACATCAACCGGAAAAGTCT